TCATTCATTCAATACTTACATTGTTATAGTAGAGTACTGGGAATTGGGTAGCATCATTATTAGTGATTATAAGACAGGGACTGTTCAATCTCTTGGCTTGATGTACTAAAGTATAACACCTACTGTTATCAGCATCATTAGCTATTACTATACCACCTAAATAATAATTATAATAATATCAATAATTGAAATTTAAAATTAGCATGTACACGTACATCAGTATTATGTAACACTAATCACTCCCTTTAGTAAGTTTCACAACAAAGTTTCAGCCGTCAAATAAAAAGATTAGACGAAGATACATTTAATTATTATTGAGAAATTTATAGACAACATGGCCGAATGTGTGGTGAGTAGCTACATGTACTAGAAACCAGTCACTTCATTGATACTGAGATAGTCATAACAAACACACATGTAACTTAAAAATTATTTTTCAGAATCAGCTCACACTTTGTACACAGCATAAGGATATTAATACGTATCAGAAAAAGGAATATAAATTTAGAGTGATTTTGGACCCATCTTTTAGAAAAATATATGAAAAATCTTGGGTATTTTTCAGAATTTTGGCATTAAATGGCCGTAACTCACAAAATTAAAGTCAGAATTAGCTCAAACTTTCTACATAGCATAAGGACATCAATATGTATCAGAAAATGTAATATAAGTTTGGGGTGATGTTGGAGCTATTTTTTTGAGAAAACCATGGGCTATAGCCTTGGGTATTTTGCAGCATTTTGGTGTTTTCTTAAAATGGCTGTAACTTGAAAAATTGAAGTCAGAATCAGCTCAAACTTTCTACAAAGCATAAAGATGTCAATATATATCAGAAACTCTCAAAATAATATTTATTTTAAAAATAGAGATAATTTTTATAAATTACGGTGTCACATGATAAAGCTAATTGACATGTAGTGGTAGAGCACAATCACTTCATTTATCGGTTATTCAATTGAAGTGAAAAGAGTACCACAATAATGTATGGAAGTATCAATAACATATCACATCATAATGTAATACACTGATACATGATAACTTCCACTGTACTGAACTAGCCATCACATTACTCTTTTGACATTATACACTACTGCTTTGACATTATACACTACTGCTTTGACATTATACACTACTGCTTTGACAAGAATAACAAGTATATGCTACATGTAGAATTCATGGCTTTAAAACAAGCATACAGTGTAACCTCTGTATAATAGACACTTTGGTACAGAAAGTTGCTTTGTTTTATACTGTAATGAATGTAATTGGTACACTACATGTACATGTAGGTGCTGTGCATTAAATGGAGGTGTACACTATAGAGAGTGTGCATTAAGAGAGACTACACTGTACATACATGTACCTATACATGTATTACACACACACTAATTTATGCTCATACTGGGTATAGATGATTCCAGTGTATCCTGATAGTGTAGTGATTCTATTAGTTGAGATGTCTTTGATCCTGGGGCAGCACACATATCAAGTACATAGTGACGAGGCTCCACCCCTAGCAACAGCGGAGGAATCATGCTCACTGCTTCTTGACGTGATATATTACCCTGCAATTAAAAAAGATAGAAAGTTGGAAATCAATCGCAAGTAACGACAATCATGTAGAAGACAAAAGTACATGTACACATGTACAATAGTTGGATATACATGTACATGTACATGAAACATGTGTTCACTACAAGAAAGACAAAGGGAGCAACCAATACTGAGAAAAGGCAATAGCAGTAAATTATAATAAATAAATAATGACAATGATCTTTCTCTCTCTCCCTCTCAGATTGGAGTTGTGCCAGTTGGATAGTGTGAATGGAACCATTAGTTATTATTATAAGAGAGAGAGAGAGAGAGAGGGAGAGAGGGAGGATTCATGGAACATTAATTACAAGCACATGCAGTAATACTACTTGTGATAAATGTTTCATAAATCCAGCTCCTTCTCTCATATTGATTATCACTTTGTTCTTGATATCGTTTATCATTTACTTGTTTTCTGATATAAAATTAATCATTATTGACATAACACATGCTACATGTGCATGCATGGAAGGAATGTAATTGTGAGTGTGTGTGTGGTCTCTCAGGTATGTAGATTGTAGATATATACTTGCTGCAAAAATCATTATTAATAGTTGCTACTTTTTTTAGTGTATGGAGATGTCATCAAGTAAGTGACCTTTTCTGTTTCTTACTTTCTCCCTTACTTAACTCCTCTGTATCCTCTCCTTATTATAACTATTCACTATATTACTGTGTCCTCTTGTTACCTATAGTCTATGAACCAGAGGAGAGGAGAGGTCATTCTACAGTACAGGTAGGAGACTACCTGTACATGTGGAGTGGGGAACAGTATGATCTCCCTGCAGTACACAATAATGAAGCAAAGAAATCAATCTGTTCTGTAGTGGAGGTCTGTCATGTACCAACTGGTACGTGGGTACAAAAGCCTACCACTGGTGACCCTCCTCTTGGTATTGGTCAATATGCTGCTGCTGTCAGTACAAATGAAACATTCTTTTATGGAGGAGGTTGTGGTCATGATGAATGTTATCATAATAGTTTATGCAGGTAAACATAATAGTTACTGATAAATATACTATATAATATTTTATACAGTTTTAATGTTGATACCTTCAATTGGAAGGAACTCTCTCCTACTACATCTCATCATGGTCCTATGATGAAGGGCGCCTGTGGTACCATTACACTACGTATTAATGATGAGGACTATCTTGCAGTAATTGGAGGATGGGGTCCGCTTCATAATAACACCCCACCACAACCTGGTGCCAAGTACAGTGGAACCCATGTTCAATATTGCAATGAAGTACATATGTACAGATAAAAAACTGGTCAGTATAATATATTAAGCTAGTATATAAACAGTAATTAAATTGACACACTTATGTGCGTATGGCATCATAATCCTCCTGGTTAAATCTTTTTACACAACTACTATAACTGTAGCTTATATAGTGCTGGGCTTGAGCCTTGATTATATAAGTGCTGGACTCCTTAGAGATTAACATACCCATAATTCACAACAACTATATAGTTATATGGTATATGCATGGTATAATACCACATCATGTCTATAATTTTTAGGTGAGTGGATTTCCCCAATTGTTACTGGAGACAGACCACCTCCTATTTCTTCCTTCACTTTAACATCAATAACTAATACCACTGCTATATTGTTTGGTGGTAGTACTGATGAAGACAGTGCGAGTAATGATGGTATATATATTTGAATTTGCCAATACATCAGTGGTGAGTGTATTTTAGTATGAATTATTAATTGGTTGTATTGATGTTGTATGTGTGGGTGTGGTTTATGATAATTAAATATTTTTATTATAGAAATGTAAAAAGTTTTCTAATCCTGGAGGATCAGTACAATGGCCTCAGGCGAGAGATGCTCATTCCAGTGTATTGATCAACTGCAGCTCAGGACCACACCTACTTGTAGTGGGTGGATATCGTACCAGTGACTGTTGGTTGTTAAATATAAACAAAATGAAATGGGAAAAACTGGTAAGCATTAGTGGTGAACATGAGTGAGTCCTACTAGTACGAGACCACTGTGATTTGTCTGCAGTGCAATGAAAACTAATTTAATACAGTACAACTGGTCAGTATAGACATGTGCATATGATAAAGAAATGAAAGATTATGCTATGAGTAGTTTTAAGCTCACAAAGTTGTCATTTTTGTAAGTGTAATTGACAATGGAGGAGAAGAAGAGAGAAATCATTTTTTACTCTGCAGATAATATTATTTTATCACTATTTTTAATTATAATAGACTAATATACCAGAGAGTGTCACTAATAGATATTGGCATTCTCTCTCAGTTTGGAGTGAGATACAAACCACTCACTGGATAATTGAGTTTGGAGGAAAGAGATGTGGTTCACACCGTTCATTACTCAGTGATACAACATTCATTGAAATCAGTAAGTACATATAAACACCAATACTCCAGCAGATACATTGTGTACTGAATATGCAATATTATTATTATAGTATCTAGTACTGGTGATTTGGTAGTAGAGTCAGTACTGGACATTGATGAATATAATCAGAGAAGAATACTGGAGGGACTTACAAAAGGTATATAATACTCATACATTATAGACACACACACACCTACTTTAATGAGTATGTGGAATTGCCATGTAACAAAGCGATGTCACTCAGATTCGATAATGTGAATGCTTTGATGTCTCTCTAGACAATTTACTTACTTGCTTCTATATGTATAAATGTATATTACAGCTTAAACCCATTTATGTTTCTATTAGTAACTGTAGCTCATATAAAAGACGCTGCATCAGATAAAAGTAAGGCTTTATAAAATAGTAAATTATTCTTGATCTTAAATTGGTACAGACATTCTGGACAAGAAGCCACAAAAGGGTGACCTCCTTAGGTTATTCAAAAGTTCATTTGCCCATTATTCAACCATTGGTACTGCACTTAATGTTCAAGTGGATGACTTGTTACAAAGTCCAATGTCAGCCTCTGATAAGCTCATACTAGTGTTCCAGAGATGGATAGACTCCAATAGAGGAGTGACCTGGAGAACAGTACTACAAGTTTGTGAAGATTTTCCAGACCAACTTGGACAAGCAAAAGCTAAAGTGGAAGGATTCCTATCATCAGACAGAGCCCGTGATAATTATTAAGAATAATATATTGTCTTTTATAATATGCTAGTTCACTTAGTCTTTTCAGCTCATAACTCCAAATTTACTTGTCAGAATTACGCCACTATAATTTGATTCATAGTTTCTCCTTTCATGGATGGGCTGATGTGGGTGGGCAGCTTCATTAATATTCATTAAAATTTTAATCATTGCTGAATAAATTGATGTGCACAGTGCATGAATAATAAAATACTTAATTGCCGATGTTGAGTGTGTGGGTGAGAAAGTGAATCTAATTGAAGTGGTCTTAAGCTCAAACATACTACATACCATGAAGACATCAATAATTGTGTATTATTAAATGTAATAAGATTTGGGGTCATTTTGGAGCCATTTTTTGGGAAAAGCATGGGCTATAGGCTATTACACATGTATACATGTAGTACAGGCATTAGTCAGAAAATGGTCCATTTTTAAATGGCTGTAACTCAACATTTGAGCTTGGAATAGGATTAAACTTTCTACATAGCATAAGTACATCAATATGTATCAGAAAATGTAGTAAAAATTAAGGATAATTTCAGAGCCACTTTTTGCAGAGAAAACACTTGCTCCACCCCAGTATCATGGCTGAATTTACATTACCATGCAAAAAAGGACCAGCTGCAGTGCAGTTACATGTATACCATGTTAGTGTGATCAAACTAAGCAAGTACTATGCCCAAACCACCCTGTGCATTCACAGCACATAGCACTTTTGCTGGAGGTGAGTGGAGGAAGTCAGCATGCAGGCTTGCTGCATGGTAGCAAGTAGAAAGATACAAAAGGGAGGGAGCTAGAGAGAGCTTCAGACAAAAATAACACAATGAGCAGTGTCAATGTCATAATACATGTACATGAAGAGTGCACATTCATGTAAGCTATATCAAAGGACAAGAGATATACATGTAATATTTAACTACAGAGTTTTATTTTGGCAATTGGTGGATTAATAGTAAGATGGACCACTAATGTTGCTTCATTCTGAGCATACTTATGACACATGGCTACAAATTCGACAATAAACACCCTTAACATTCCCACTACACAATATCTCTCTAGAGCTTATCCATAACAAGAAATGCTACAAGACAAAGTAATACAATGAGTAATGTTAATAGAACAAAATCCGCGAAATATTTTGCCCTAAAAAAGGCACCCTACAATAAATAATGACAATGATCTTTCTCTTTCTCTCTCTCTCAGATTGGAGATGTTCCAGTTGGATAGTGTAAATGGGACCATTAGTTATTATTATCATAAGAGAGAGAGAGAGGGAGGATTCATGGAACATTAATCACAAGTAGTAATACAACTAGTGATAAATGTTCCATGAATTTTCCCTCTCTCTTATTGTTTTTTGAATTTGTTATTGATATTGTTTATTATTCACTTGTTTTCTGATGTAAATTATTATTGACAAAACACATGCAATGTGCATGCATGGAAAGAGTGTGATTGTGAGTGGGTGTGTGTGGGTATGTCTCTCAGGTATGTATGAATAATATTACTAATAGTTGTTATTAGTGTTTAAAGATGTCATCAAGTAAGTGGCTTCTTCTCTTTCTTATTTCTCCCTTACTTAACCTCCTCTGTATCCTCTTCTTGTTATAACTATTCACTATATTACTGTGTCCTCTTGTTATATATAGTCTATCAACCAGTGGGGAGGGACTCTCACTCTACAGTACAGGTAGGAGACTACTTGTACATGTGGGGTGGGGACCAGCCTGGTCTCCCTGCAGTACACAATGATGAGGAGAAGCAATCAATCTGTTCTGTAGTGGAGGTGTGTCACCTACCAACTGGTACATGGGTACAAAAGCCTACCACTGGTGGCCCTCCTCTTGGTGTTCAAGCATATGCTGCTGCTGTCATTAGAAATGAAATATTCTTTTATGGAGGCTTCTGTGGTCATGACAAATGTTATCACAATAGTTTATACAGGTAAACATAATAGTTACTGATAAGTATTATATAATATTTTATACAGTTTCAATGTTGATACCTTCAATTGGAAGGAACTCTCTCCTACTACATCTCATCATGGTCCTAAGATGAAGGCTGGCTGTGGCATGGTTGCACTATGCATTAATGATGAAGACTATCTTGCTGTGATTGGAGGATTGGGTCCAATTGATAATAACACCCCACCACAACCTGGTGCCCAGTACAGGGAAGAGGCTTATCAACGTTGCAATGAAGTACATTTTTACAGATTAAAAACAGGTCAGTGTAATATGATATTAGGTATGTGTGTAATGTGTATGTCATCATACAATGTAACTGTAGCCTACATAGTGCTAGGCTTGCATCTTGATTGTAAGTACCATTCTCCTCAGAGATTAACATGCCATAAGGTGCCTTTTTTTTAGGGCTATAAATTTTGTGGATTTTTCCTAAAACGCAAATATTGTGGCCTTGAATAATAATAATTAGCTAAAAGAGGGTGTGGCAATGCGTGCACTTTTATCATAAAGATGGCCTTTTTGGACTATTTTCAGCTATTTTCGGATGGCAGGCTTTATGTTCTTTGGCTTTTTCCAAACTCTGCTGGTCCTTTGTCAAATCATGTACCTCAGAGAGCAATTATGTCAGCTAGAAAAGGTGTTAGGGAGTCATGATTCACAAAATTTACTTTCGTGAGAAAAGGGAACTTGAAATCTATAGCCTTCGAAAAAAAGCACCCTATGGTACCCATAATTCACAATAATTAGTTCTACAGTATATGCATGGTACAATACCATATCATGTCTACATTATTTACAGTGTGTGCATATTGATTATTTTTAGATGAATGGACTTCACCAACTGTCACTGGAGACAGACCACCTCCTATTAATTCCTTCACTTTAACATCAATAACTAATACCACTGCTATATTGTTTGGTGGTGATATTGATCAAGACAATGAGAGTAATGATGTATATACATTTGAATTTGCTAATATGTCAGTGGTGAGTGTATTAATTATTAGTATAATAGTTATTTATTACATTAATAAAGTATTGTACATGTGTGTGCTTTATGATAATTAAAAACTTTCATATTTTTAGAAATGTACCAAGCTTTCTAATCCTGGAGGATCAGTTCAATGGCCTAAGAAGAGATCTTCTCATTCCAGTGTATTGATTAACTGTAGCTCAGGACCATACCTACTAGTGATGGGTGGAATCGGTGGATATCCTACCAAGGACTGTTGGTTGTTAAATATAAACAAAATGGAATGGAAAAAACTGGTAAGTATTGTAATGTACATGTAATTGTGGTAAGCGTGAGTTAGTCCTACTAGTATGAGACCACTGTGATCTGTCTGTCTGTAATGATAATCAATTTAATACAATACAACTGCTCAGTAATCAGTATAGACATGTGCATATGATAAAGAAATAAAAGATTATGTTGTGAGTAGTTTTCTAAGAAAGAGCTGTTGCCATTTTTGTAAGTGTGATTAACAATGAAGGAAAAGGAGAGAGAGAAATCATTCTTTTATCCTGCAGATATATTATTTTATCATTTTAATTATATAGACTAAAATACCAGACAGTGTCACTGAAATGATTGGGCATTCTCTCTCAGTTTGGAATGAGACACAGACGACTCACTGGATAATTGAGTTTGGAGGAAAGGGGAACGATACAACATTTATTGAAATCAGTGAGTACACTGTACATGTAAAGACTAGTAGATACAATGTGTACTGAATATGTAATATTATTATTATATACCGTATATCGGGTACATTTCAATGCATTAATAATATCGGATGAAGCAATCCATTGCGAAAATAAATGTTATGAAATTTTAAAATATGCGGATAAAAAGGAATAGAAGATATGTGGTATTGTGCAATTTTATGAACACATGGCTTCATAACTATCCATGGCTTTTAACTCGAAGGCCATAAAGAGCCTTCTTTGCCAGTTAAGTGTAGCTAAGGTTGATTCAGAAGTGGAGAAGTCAGCAAATGCTTTGATTTACTTACCAGGCCAGGTGGTTGATGGAAATAATAGCAAGTAAAATATTTTCGGAATATAAAAGGCTTCCAAATTTTTCCATCATTGAACTTTATAGTTACATCACTTTTCATGCATTGAAATATACCCAATATACGGTACTATTATCATTATCATTATCATTATTATTATTATTATTATTATTATTATTATTATTATTAGTATCTAGTACTGGTGATTTGGTAGTACAGTCAGTACTGGACATTAATGAATATCAGAAGAGAAGAATAAAAGGTATTAGCACATACATATACATATACATGTACCAAGCACATCTTTCACTTATTTGAGGTACGCTCTTGCTTGCCGACCAATAAATAATTCTGTTTCATGTATTGAGATTCCTAACCATCTATTGTTTTGATAAAACATTTTCACAATCATAACAGAATCCATTGTAGTACAGCAATCATAAGTACATACACACAATCAGTAATGGTTAGGTAATACACTCACACACTAATTTAAAAACTTGGACTTGAAAAAGGTTTACATGTACATCACTCATACACATACACACACACATACATATACAGGTATATGTACTTTAATGTGGTATAATCACTCAAAAATGTTAAATGATTTGATAATGTAAAAGCTGATATGTCTCTCTATACAATTTACTTACTTACATGTACATGTATATATTACTGCTAAAACTAATTTATATGTTTTTTGCTTTATTAACAAAATCTCATATAAAAGACACCGAATCTGATAAAGGTAAGACTTTATAAAATAGTGAATTATTGTTGATCTGAAATTGGTACAGACATTCTGGACAAGAAGCCACAAAAGGGTGACCTCCTTAGGTTATTCAAAAGTTCATCTGCCCATTATTCAACCATTGGTACTGCACTTGATGTTCAAGTGGATGACTTGTTGCATAGTCCAATGTTAGCCTCTGATAAGCTCATACTAGTGTTCCAGAGATGGATAGACTCCAATAGAGGAGTGACCTGGAGAACAGTACTTCAAGTTTGTGAAGATTTTCCAGACCAACTTGGACAAGCAAAGGCTGAAGTGGAAGGATTCCTATCATCAGACAGAGCCCGTTATAATTATTAAGAATAATAATATACTGTCTTTTCCTGTGTGACCGATATTGCTAATACTATAATATATTAGTTTTTTTAGTCCTTTTAAGCTCATTATTTGTCAGAAACTACCACAACAGCAGGACAACTGGTGGAGTTTATTTGGCAATTGATGGATTAATAATAAGATCGCCAAAATAAAACCCTTAAATTTGCTTCATTCTGAGCATACTCAATGACACATGGCTACAAATTCGCCAATATAAAAATCACCAATATTAAGCATCCCAGACACTCCCGCTATATAATATTTCTCTAGAGCTTATCAATGACAAGAGATGCAACAAGACAAGGTAATACAATAACTAATGTTAATGAATGATAGCTATAAATACAGGAAAGCCTAATAAAACAATTTTCTGCTGCTTATTAGTAACAGAAAATTTTCATGATCTATGATAGAGGTAGAGTCTGTAACCTCATCTTACAATCAACAGTTACATGTAAATGTACATCAGCTGTATATAAGTCAACAGGACAAAGAAAAATGAAGCAAATTGATGGCAAATAGTTCAAGTTAATAGTTTTTAAAATCAGTACAATCATAGTACTACAATCTTAATAAACAACAACTCGATTATTAAATGCATCATTAATATAAAGGAATCCATCTTTATCAAAAGACAGCCCGACTGGACCATTAAACTGATCAATATTACGTCCTCTCCTTCCAAAACTAGTGACAAACACTCCATCACTAGTAAAGACAGAGATGCGATGATTGCCATATTCACTAACATAGACCAGGCCAGTACCTTCAGTGTCTATTGTTATACCATATGGCATGTCAAGCTGTCCAGGACCAGATCCTTTGGTGCCAAACTGACCCACAAACTTTCCATCTTGAGTGAATTTTTGTATGCAGTTATTCCTATCAGCGACATATATTGATCCTTGACTGTCGATAGCAAGGTCACGTGGTTCGTTAAAATGTCCATTACCTGATCCTTTACTACCAAATGAATGAGAGAAGGTTAGATCAGGATTCAAGACTTGTATACGATCATTCACACAATCAGCAATATAAACCTGTCCTGTAGTGGGAGAAATGGATAGGCCATCAGGAATATTGAACTGTTGTTGTCCAGAACCTTCTTCACCAAAGGAAGCTATACAATCTCCATCCATGCTTATCTTCTGGATTCTGTGATTATCAGATACAAGAATGAATTTGTCTGGAGTAATGGCTACACCACGAGGACGTGAAAACTTGACATTACCAATTCCTCCTTTCCCTCCTAATAATTTTACAACTTCTCCTTTCTTACTAATCACTTTTAGGCAATGACCACTAAACTCTGTTATCATAACATGATTATCATCAGTTATAGCTACTCCCCATGGACAGTTAAGCCCAGCCATAGTATGTACTTGAGTGATGCTATCAAGGTAAGGATTGATAGGGATGGCTACTTGTGCTGTATCATAAAATTGAGCTTCATATACTTGCACTCTTACTATATGAGGGCCACGTGTTGAAGGGCTACACTGTATCCTATACACTCCAGGATCAGTGCCAGTAGTGACTGTAGTGTGAGTGGGTTGTTCATCTTTACCAACTGGTACTAGACTACACTTGAGAGAAGAGAGGGGAACAGACAAAAGAGATGAATCTGGTGCCTCCATTGATAGTGAAAACGAAATGCATTTATCATGTACAATATCCAATATCTTGACTTTAGCCTCCAGTAATGCATTATAAGAAACAACTCCAATGTGTTCAAGTGATTTGAGACAATCAATAGTGTCTTTGATCAATTTGAGGTCATTCTCTTCAATTGGTTGTAGCTCCTCCACATTGATCCCTACAGTAACTTCACTCATACGCTCCATCATCTGATTCTTAGACCTCAGGACTTGTTGAGGAGTATCTGTCTTCAGACTCTGCTCCACGAAGTTCTCGACATCTTTTAAAAGACTTAACCTTTTTTCAGCCTCTTTTACCTGCTCGGAAAGCACCTTTAGCTTAGCATCTGTGACCCTCTTTGCCTGCTCAGTCAGTTTCCTCTCTGACTGATGAAGAACAGCAATCATCTCCTCTACCATTTCATGTATATCTCGTACGACACTTTCTCCAGTCTCCCTTACCTCAGTCTCTCTCACTGACAGATCATGCAGTATCTTCTTCATTGACTCTTCTTTGTCCTTCACTGGCTTCAAGTGTTCATGCAAGGATTGACAGTGTTCTTGGTAGCAGTCAGATATTAAGGTAGACCTATGGTCTGCATGTGAACGAATAGCACAATGGCAGCAAATGACAGCAGGACATGTTTCACAATAAACTTCCAAAGGCTTGCCATGTTCAGAACAATTCTGAGGGTCAGTATTATAACTGACCTCCTTAGGCTCTGCCTGCTCTGTTGCTTTCTTTGACAGACTATTCCAAATCTCTTTGAGATTGTTGAGGTGGAATGCTACAGGAAAAATTCCTGCTCCTTCTTCTGGTAACTCTGTATGATGACGACAAGTGGGACAAGAGAAGTAATAGGTCTCATTCTTCTTATCTAGAGGTAATCCCTCCAGACACTGCTGACAGAATGAGTGTAGACAAGGTAGAGTCCTAGGGTTGGTATAGTGGTCAAGACACACAGGACAGGTGAGCTGTTCCTCCAGTTTGAGGAGACCAGGAGGAGAAGAAGAGGCAGCCATTACAAGATAAAGATAAAAGGGGTGGAAAGATTGTTTTGATAAGAAAGAACATTCCTTACCATGCCCATGGCAACAAAGATAGCTATAGAAACCACAAATATAAAATCAAAAATCTGTGTTTGCCATCAAAACTTACAGATTCAAAAATGATATTTAAAATTGCTTACAAAAATAGAAATATAGTTTTCATTGATAATATTGAACACACTATTAGTTTCTTTTGTTAACCATATGGTACATAATTTTTGTACACATTAAGTATTTACATGTACATGTAAGTAAAGGTAATACATATACAACTAGTGGAGGTATCAATGGCTTTTATTACACCAAGGGCCTAATCATCCTCCTAGGAAACTTGTTAGTATAAACCTAAAATCAAGCAATCGTAAGTACTATCCTTATTTTTCGGGGTGCATCATTTATCCATGTACATGTACACAAGGACAGGCATCCATTCCTGGACCACAGAGGCTGGCATAACTTGTATATGAAAATGTTGCCAGGATCCATAATGTTTATCCATAAAATTTGAATTACCAATACCACCCACACAAAAACTAATTAAAGGAGCCACAATAACACTCTAGATAATAACTACTATTTCAAGACAATAGTCTCTATTACTCCATTTTTCACTGTAAGACATGTATACGTACGCTATTACTTTAAGATAACAGAATGTCAGCCACGAATATTTGTACCAACACATATTAGGAAGTTTGGAAGAAAAAGTATCCACTCGATTAAGTGGCAGAACATTTATTTCGTAACATGTCAATAATTGTGTAAAATAAAATTAAAAACACGAGTAAGTGGAATCAAACAGAAAAATGAAAATTACGCTACTTGGACTCATACAATGTACATCTACACTGTAGGTACTTGTACTGTAGCCAATACATGTACATGCATTAAACTGTATAGGCATCAGAAAATGTAATAAACCAATTCTTGAATGAATTATTGCAAGAAGTTATACATTAAAATTACATACTGTAGAGCGCTCTTTTTTTCGAAGGCTATAGATTTCAAGTTCCCTTTTTTAGCGGAATTAAATTTCATGAATCATGACTCCGTCTGAGGTACATGATTTGAAAAAGGGCCAGGAGAGTTTTGGAAAAAGCCAAAAGGCCATCTTTACTATAAAATGCCCATGTGAAACATGTCATGATGATGACGCTCCCTTGCAATTAATAATTATTATTATAATTTGAGGCCACAATTTGCGTTTCAGAAAAAATTCACAAAATCTGCAAAATTTAATAGCTCTAAAAAAGCGCCCTACAGTAATCCTCTTATAGACAATAATTTGTACCTGATTGCTCTCTTTGACCAGAAATGAATGAAACTTAGACAGAAGAGGTGAGCTACGTACAGTGGTACGAGATAAAGACACATGCCACGCTAAATTATTAGGATACCTATACATGTGAAAACAAAACGAAAATTTTAACCATAAATTAAGTTAATGATCACATGATAAAATAACAATCAATTACCATGGTAATGGAGTGGGTGGTGATATTGCCTCACCTTCTACTACTAAATCTTTCAATTCACTAAAATATCTAAAAGTGATAAACAATAAATTAAAACACTACTTATACACTACCGCACAGCGGAAAATTTTCATGGCCCAAAAACTTCGTGGATCCGTTCAAAAATCAATTTCATGGCTTTAATTTTCGTGGTTTTGTACTTTTTGGCCATCTTGAACTGTATTAAATCAATTTTTGCAGATTTTATTTTCGTAAATTTTGAAAAACGCAAAATCCACAAAAAATTTTGGGCCACAAAAATTTTTATGTACATACATTGTACATGTACACATGGATACATATACATTATATTATTCAGAGTCTGAAATAACAGTCAGAAATCAGACATTTTCGAACCACATTGCTCAACTGCCTGACCAAATTCTGTGTCAACTGTTCTACATTTTTTCTGAACAACATAGTTTTTGAAATAAATTTATCAAAAACAAATTAACACAATACAGGCTTTCATACAGAATTTTTTTGTGGGGGGGACTCTAAACTGTGCTAGCTTCTGCATACATGTACAATGTATATTTGTAATTATTTTAATGGCTTCATTGAGCAGGCTTTCATACAGAATTTTTTGTGGGGGGGGAACCTAATGTGGGGGGGGGGGAAATTTCAGTGCCACCCCCCCTCTCTATGAAACCCTGCAATATCATATAGCGGGTTTATTTCAAGGATAATAATTTTCACGAATGGCCTGTATCCGGAGGTTCACTGAACTAATTTTTGCAAATTGCCACTTTTCTGCCATCTTGTACCATATTAAATTGATTTTCAAGGAATTTAATTTTGTGAATCTTTAAAAATCCGCAAAATTCACGAAATTTGTTATCCTCAAAATAAACCTGCTATATGGCAACATGTCCTACCACAGGGTTTCCCACAAAGCATGCTAAGTGAGCATGCTTCATGAGCTGACAAGCACTAGAACAGAGTATTATGACATTTGGAGAAACTTTAAAAAATTTATTAAAACTCCAAATTTAATCGGAATGAGTTCAAACTGTCTACACAGCATAAGAACAAGTATTATGTATCAGGAAAAATTACAAAAGTTTAAACTCTCTACTTTTCATTTTTGATGAAATTTGGCGAAAAACTCTGTACAAAAATTCAAAATTCAAATTTTGTACAGAGACTTTGGCCGGATTCTTGAGTAACTTTAAAAATTTGTGAATAAATTCAAATTTGATCGGATCAGCTCAAACTTACTATACAGCATAAAAACATGTACATGTATATGCATCAGGAAAAATTATAAAAAATTTCTAGTCTAAATAGAGTCTGGGACAAGAGGAAGCATGAGGACTATGCCAAAATCCTGTGGGAAACCCTGTCAGACTGTTTCATAAAAATTTCAGATGCTTGAATTAGTTCCAGGATCTGCTATATGCATACTACGTATGTGTATCACAACTACATGTACATGTACCTCTTTTCAAGGCAATTAAGGACACCTTGAGACCAGGTCCTTGTTCCAGTGATACGGAACGTAACAGGAAGTGGTTGTCGCAGTGATGACATAAAGGAAGACCATTCATCAACAGGTATAATGCTTTGAGTCTGAGAGTATGTAATAAAAAGATGAAAATTGTAATAATAATTATACATATTACAGTGTCAAAGTTTGGTATGATTGATAACCATAAATGATTTATTAAGGAAATTATGCAGTTTAGACTGCTCAAATAAGATGCAATACTTCACGCTTCACACCCAAATCAATATTAACAAGAGTACATAATACCTTAATTAATCAATCATGGTAGCTTTACATTAAGTACACATACAACTAACTCATTAATGCTGCAATAAACATTATTTTCATATGGTGACAATTGCAATGGCCTACAAAGCTTATATTAAGGTGCAGTCTGTGAAAAACCATAATAGCTTTTAATTATTATTGAAAACCACAAAAATTAATTTTCATGTTATTTGATAACACACATAATTACTAATGGTATTTAACACAATAGCTAAATAGAGAAGTAATAGTTACCTTATAATATTCTTCAAATGCTGAATTCTCTTTAATAATCTCTGTGTAACCATCATTATTAGTATTTTCATCTGTCTTTCTCTTTTTCTCTTCTCTCTCGCCCCCTCCTGCTCCTCCGCCTTTCCTTTTATATCTTTTACCAGGCATAAGTAAAGAAAGAGACCTTGATTATAATGATAGGTGTACAAACGAGCTGGATCGAAATACAATGGAGCCAAGAAGCATGGAATGGTCTATTGACTTGAAACCCGCCAGTTATTACTGCGCATGCTCTAAAAATTAATTTTTGGGATACATAATTAATCTTAGGTAAAGAAAAATGAAATAGGCTAGTAAAGTAATAAAAGTAGTAAAAGTAAATAAGTATAGAAATAAAATGAAAAGAACAGTTAAGTGTATGCTAGTACTAGTCCTGCAGTTCAAGTGAAGGTTAAATTCCAAGTTTATCAAAAGTTATAGCAAAAAATCAATAGGTTAGGTGAAACTGAACAGACTTTAATAGTCTACTCAGTTAGATCTGAGTCCTCAGTGTATTAAAAGAGCTTATAGTAAGGTCAAGGGTGCATGCAAATAAAAGTAAATGTTAATTATACATATAAATACAAATACACTGCATGTTATTGTTACGATGACTGCTCAATCTTCAATTTTGACTTTCAATTCATACTCTATTCCTTTAAGAGCATCAGCAACAGTGTTCTGAACTTGTTCTCCATCAGATAACGGGCCACTTAATGTCCAAGTAATCCCTGTCAATTCGATCCCATGAACAACTTTATCCATTATCCAACTTGAAGGAATACAGGAAGCGTCTAGATCATACTTTGATTTGTCATTCACATTATTAAGAGTGAAATCAACATCAATCACCATTACTGGGCCTGAGAAGTACCTTGCATCAATCTTCTCTCTAGTAATTGTCTTAGGGTCAAAGCTGTCCCAATCACGATTGGGTACTTTTATTAAAAAGTCTTCGAGGGTCCCCCAGTCATAAACGATCATGAACTCCCAGTCATTAGGTACTTGCCCAAGACGATCAACCACAAACTTATCACGTGGAGATATTAGCAGGTCCAGAGATGGTGCATCAGCAATGATATCTTTATAAAATGTGACTGCATCATCAATATCAGCTAGAATATCCTTAGGTATTCCGAGATATGCATCGCGTCCACAATTGAAAGCTAGCTTGTAGAGTGGGTAGTCGTTATTAGAACTACTGTCCGATTCTTGAACACTCTCATCTTTATTATTTACTTCCTCTACATTATCCTTTCCTTGTTCTTCTTCTTCTTCTTCGGCATTCTTTCCCTCATTCTCTTCCTCATCATCACTCCAGCACAAGTCAGAATCAGATAGAGCTTCTCCTTCATTCACCACCTTTACAACCCGGGACCATCCATCTCTGTAATCACCAAAGTTCACAACGTCACCATGACCAAGGCCATATCGTTTTACCAGTTTCTTAACTGCTCCTCGAGTCCTTGGTCTCTCGTGACTGTCTGAACAGTATATGTATTGAGCTACCCTTTTCTGTACTTTAGGAGATAGTGAAGATTCTTTTGACTTATCTCTCTCAGAACTGCTGTGCTTCTTCAATGCATTAGCCATTAATGGAGGAGGAGGGTGGAACCAAATCACACAAAGAAACAGGAAATGGCAATTTGATACCTCAGTTGCTAATGATAATAATAGATGATGCATTCAATGCATTGTCCTTTTTCGTTAATTCTTTAAAATTGCAAGCATAATTTTGGCAAATCATTACATACTAGAATTCATTTTGGCATTTAGCAGGCTGTGAAAATGCCAAATTTGTTAAAATGTGCTTCCTCCAAATTACCAGCTATACCGTAAATGAAAATAACAATACCTCATATAATTAAAATAACAATAATTAAAGCTCGTCTTTTATTTGTCTATTGATCCAGAATTGTCTTAAAGTTTCAACATTTTGCCAACAAACCACATTCCACCAATCACTGATGTAGTCAGCCCTCAAGTTTTGATGCTTCAGGTAATACGAATGCTCCCACACATCAAGAACAAGGAGTGGATAGAGATTAGATGAGATTGGACAATCCTATCATGAGAAAAATAATAAATATTGACACAATCAATGTGATTATTAGTTGCATGTTATATCTGTTTATGGAAATAATTTTAGAGTCTGAAATTACATTCAAACAATAAGTATTCAGACATTGTGTCTGAACAGTAATTTGATCTACTATTTTATAAAACAGTTGGACAGGGTTTCTCACAAGACTTTAAAATAGTGCTCATGCAGCTTCTTGTCAGTGGATGGTCAAGTTGTTCACATTGGGTCAAAAAACCTTATAGTACAGGGTACATGTATTTTAAAAATCACAAGGAATTTTTATAATTTTTTTGATACACATACATGTTTTTATGCTGTGTAGAAAATTAGAGCTGACTCCAATCAAGTTAGGATTTCTTAATGAATTTTTGAAGTTGCTCAAAAAGCAAGCCAACGACCAAGTTTTATCAAAAATGGTAAGAAAAGAATTCTCCATTTCTATAATTTTTCCTGATACGCATGCATGTACTTTTGTTGTGTATCAAGTTTGAGCTGATTGCAATCAAATTTGGATTTTCTGTGGATTTTTAAAGTTGCTAAAAATCAAACCAACGACCAAATTAAGGTTATATTTAGCCTTTGATCTTTGACCAAATTTTGTCAAAATGGCAGGGAGAAAATTCTTAATTTTTATAATAATTTTTTGATACACATACATGCCCATATGCTGTGTAATGCGTATCAACTTTGAGCTGATTCTAATCAAGTTTGAATTTTTGAATAAATTTTAAATTTGCTCCCAACGTTATGCACTACATGTATTTGTAGTGTTTAATTATCCTCTCATAGCATGCTTTGTGGGAAACCCTGCCGTCGGTAATGAGTAATTGGTTAGTATGTTAAAAATTGCTATTAATTGCTTTAAAATCATAAAACAACTAAGAATTTCATCAGATAGTTGAGCAAAATGGTCCAAAAATGTTTAATGTCTGACTGTTATTTCATGTTCTGAATTTATAACAATGACCACAATCTTGAAAAATAAAGCTGTTGCCCAGAGTATAGATGCACCAATTTAAATAAATCATTAAAATTACAGGTAGTACTCCATAATACAAACCGTCTCATAATACCAAAATCTACTATAACATAATACATGACAGACACATACACCGTATTTCCTTAAATAAAAGCCCGGGTGTCTATTTCCTAAAATGGTATTTAGACCTCAAAAATACATATAAAATAAAAAACCTTGGCCCAGAGCTGGATTCAAAACCGTGACCTTGTGAACTTGACTGCTGAAACTTAAGGCAGTATCTACAAGGCTACTGAGTTACATCTTGGGTGACTTTGCGTATTTATAGTTTAATTCTATTGCTACCCCGGCATTTATTCGCATGCGGCTTCTATTTAAGGATATACAGTATGTGCATCTACTCTTGATGCAAGGTACTGTAAAAGATTGGTATGCATTAAATATGCTTCACTTATTCATTGAGGTACCATATATGTGGCTTTTTGGGGTGTTGTAAATTTTGCGGATTTCTTCCTGATACGCAAAAATAAAATCTAGCTCAATTTAATACGGTACCCACATGGCACGTGGTAGAATTCACAAAATTAAAATCTGCAAATTGGAAATTTAATACATTTTGTGAAATACAATTCCCTCAAAAAACGCTTATAATGGTACATGTACAACATAATTAAAACAGATGCATGAAAATACAGTACCTGGTTCTTTGTTGAGATTATACTAATGCTTCCTTCATCATCTGTCACAAGCCATACATAGCCTGATCCAAATAAAGAGAGACTAGCAGTGGTAAAACTTTCTTTAAATTCTGACATCCCAGCTGGAAAGCTTGCTTTAATCTTTTTCAAAAGAGCTTTTGAAATTTCTCCAGGTTTTGGACACATTGTGACCCAGTAATAAATGTGATTGACATAACCACCAGCATTATTCTGAAGAGTTGTACGCCACTTATCAGGAACCATCTCAAGGTTTTGTAGTATGTCAATGATGGAAGACTTTGCTAAATCACTTTGAGGTTCCTATAAATAAGGTAAACAAATATCAAAAATTAATAGATTTATGGTATCAGTAGCACACACTATAACTGCAAAGTTTGGATTTACAATATTACACTAGTCCTTATGTTATGTTGATGCTAAAGTTGAATTTGGCTCAAATCTAGTGTAAAGCATGCATGAAAAGGTCAAATCACCCACACTTTTGATAAAAAATCAACGATATATTGGCCTAGCATCATATTGTAAACCAGCCTTAACTGGCAATAAAATAGTAACATATTATTGTAGTATACACTATAAGAAATGTAACTGCAAATGTAAATGTAACTAAATACCTAAAGGCTGGTTTACAATATGATGTTAGGCTAGTGTATTATCAATTTTTAATCAAAAGAGTGGGCAATTTGACCTTTTGACACCTGCTTTCCACTAGAATAGAACCAGACTCTATTCCAGCGTCAATGTAACATCAAGACTAGCATAGTATTGTAAACTAGCCTTAAGTGCATTAAATAGCTCACAAGCACTACAACAGTATGATGGATTTTCAAGCAACTTCAAAAGTTCATACAAAATCTACTTACACATGTGTGACTCAAACTTTCTAGTTTCTACACATTGTATTGAAAAATGCAATAAAAATGGTGAATTCTTTCCTAGTCATTTTTGGCAAAATTTGGCTTGTGACCCTGTACTTTTATACCGTACAAGATGATTTATTGGTGAGGATTTAATATTGGCGATTAGCAGTTCTATGAAGTAATCACCAATATAAAATCTGCCATTTTGTTTCAATCTGAGCATGCTCAATAGCACATGGCACAAAATCGCCCATATAAAATCTGCCCACAGGTAAATCCACGAAATATTACTCCCGCCAATAAATCATCTTGTACGGTAGTATTACTTCGACCCAATTTTTAAAAAATTTTATAAAAATCAAATTTTAATTGGAATCAGCTAAAACTTTCTACCCAATATAAGTACATGTATATGCATGAGAAAATGTAATAAAAATTTGAAGTTCTCTCCTAGTCAATTTTGGCTCGTGACTCTGTATGCCAGGTTCTTTAGCAACTTTAAAAATTTATAAAAAATTCAATTTTGATCAGAATTAGCTCAAAATTTCTACACAACATAAGGACATGTATATTATGTATGCATATCACAAAAAATTATCATAAATTCTAAAGTAAAGTAATTAAATTTTAATTACCTAAATTTACATAAGCATGTCAGTAAATCACAAATAATTAACATACTTGTTTCCTCCAATCCTTCAGTGCCTGATTCATCTTAACAGTGTATCCCTGATGGTGTTTCTTATGATGTACAGTGAGTGTCCTCTGGTCAATATAAGGTTCTAATTCATGATAATCATAACCAGGTAACTGAGGGAAACTGTACTCATCTACTGGATAGAACATTTCATCATATATGGAGGATTGAGAGAGTGTCAGTGTGAAGAAAGAAAAGAGAGAGAAAATCCTGATGAACTCCATTTTATTAATTAGCCTAGTGGTTTATTTAATAGTTATTACTAATTATTAAATAGAAATATTGTTTAGTTTTTTTACAAGACTTTTAATCATACCTAAAAGATGCACCATCTCACTTTCTCTTGTTTGCTCTTACCAGGAATGGATTTTAGTAGTTCAACTCCAGTAAGTATTATACTAGGTCTATATCAGTAGATTATTATGATTTTATTGTTTATAAAATGATTATTAATGTATTTTACATACATAGATCTAGTCTATCATGGGTTTTCTAAATATTGCATGAGTAGATTTACTAAAAGGGTTAATAATTGCTGTAATTCAGTGCTGCTCATTACAAATTGAAATTGTAGCTTATGCCTGCACTGAAAGAATTGATGGACTTTGCGGTTTGATTTAGTGCAATATCTTGAGTGCAATATCAGAAATAAAACTACCAAAAACACGCAATATTTTCATCATGTTCTTCCTACAAAATCTTGTATGAATTCCTGTATGTTATACAGGAATTATAGCCTAAATCATTCATAGGCTGCTATTGTGAGTCTGGAATCTACTGTACTAAACCTTTATACTCTTACCATACATTTATACTAACCATACATGTAGTGAGAAATGTTCAGGCATTTAAATCAAGCAAATATGGTATAGCTATACATGTACATGTATGTAGTGAATGTATGTGTACATGTACGTTGTATGATCTTATTTCACTGGGGAATGTTCTGGGCAGTAAGAGACTAGTATACGTGTCATTGTCTTATTGGTGATCCTCCCATTGTTACTGGATGAATCTACCACTGGAATGGATCCTGCCACCAGGTGCTACCTTTGGAATGTACTCATTGAATTTATTAGGAATGGAAGGAGTGGTTTACTGACTTCTCATAGCTGGGAAAGGAATGCTACAATAGATCCTTCAATTGATCGGTATTAGTTTTATAACCACAGCATTAAAATAGCTATAATATATTGGGAAACCTTTCACCTAGGATAGCAACAATTGCCATAACTGCTAAATTTATTTTTATGCAATTCAGATAATTTAATATTAATAATGTGGACAACAGTGTACATGTATAATACAGAAATACCAAGGTTGCAGCATGGTTGTGGCAACCTTGTAACAAGTTGTCACCAGGTTAAGTGTCATTACCTGGTAACAGCCTTGTGAAAACCATAAATTTTACGTGTTTTCCACCTTGTGACAACCTTGTAACAACCTTAATTGTCACAATATACAATAAATTTTATAAAGCAATTATAATCGGAAAGATTATCTACATATTATATTATTGTCATCCTAATCCTGTATAGTTTGAATTGGTTTGTCTAGATACTTGTGATATGTTTTATATGTGAATATGTTTAAGGTTGTCTTTATTGACTTTTAAGAGCTGGTCAATGCTTGATAGTGGGGTGCATTTATGAAGCATCAGTTTTTTTGTCAATCTTCAAACAACCATATCACAAGGTTATGTTTCTTACAATTTAGTCACAACTTTATCACTTCTATACAAGGTTGTTGTTATATGTAGGTTGCTACAACCCTATGAAGTTGTCAACTCAGTGTTATAACAACCTTGACATTTATATTATGGTAGTTTATTTATCATGAATATGTTTATTTATTTTTATTATTAGTATGGGATAGTGAAGGGTTTGTGTACACATTTAAAATGTGTACACAAACCCTCACACTACCCCATACTAATAATAAAAACGGTTTAGCTGTAATGATAAATGGAAGGCTCAACTATTTTAGGAGCGTACAACATTTCAAGAGCAAGTAATGAAACTAAATGAGAACATTCAGTATCATAATTATTGTCATTAGGTTTGGACATGTTTATACATTGCATATTGAAGTTTATCCATTGCCACCAAAAAAAGAAGCTAGGGCCTGGTGTTGCATTATATGCCTAGAGGTAGGGCTGCCAAAAGGGAGGGGCAGGTGGAACATTTTGCCCTGGGCCCCCAATGAAAGGGTGACCCCAAGCCCTTGGTCAATAGTAAAGTACTGTATAGTTAGTTCTGAAACTCTTTTAAGTTAGCTCTTGCTGAGCCATTTTGTTAATCACTGTAAGGGGGAATTTGTTTTCGTAGGGGCCCGGGGCCCCATCAAAAATTTTGACCTGGGCAGGCTGGGCTCCACATAGTCTGACCCACATAGCCTATTGGCAGACCTGCCTAGAGGTAGTCCTTATGAGACTGGACAAGTACAGCACTTTTGTTACAAGTTTGTTTCGGGTTATTTATTATTAATATTTTTGCTCTGATTACTAACAAAGCAAAAACAAATACCGGTACATGTATATACAATGGAATTATTAGGAATGAGGGATGTGTAAGGAGAAAAATAAGCTAGAATAAGGAATTTATAATTGTATATTATGCCTTTATTGTGAGCTTTGTGGTTACAGTTTATTGTAGTGCTTTTACAAACATAGTTAAAATATAAATTTCAAAATCTTAAGACTTGTAATTATTACCAAAATTTTGCATTATGTTATAGGGTTTAGCTACCCTATCAAGTACAGAGAGTATAACTTTGTATAGGATGTTCAGTACTGCATGTTGAGTTTCATAAGGAGAGTCTTAATACTACTGATTTTAGTGTGTGTCAGACAACACTGGAACAAGTATGATCATTTATTGTATAGCTTAATATGACATTGATTCTGTAGGTTTTCATTTGCTCAAGTGCAGCACGTTGAAGATTAACTATTGCAAACATTAACTTTTGTATTAACTTGCTGTGTGTATAATACATGCATAATCATGTATGCCTGTACTAAGTATACATGATTTAGTTAGTTATTTTTATTGCTGATTTGATGTTTTGCTTGATTAAAAATAATAGATGTGTCCTGGAGCATATTTTCTAAGTGGTAAAAATATGGGATATACCAATATAGCATATTAAGTAATTATTTTTGATACTAAATTTTACAAATTTGTATTTTGTGAAGAATTAATTTTCATGTACGTGTATGCATTACATAAATTTTCACTTTTTAGTTACCCTTCTATTCTGCATCTGATTTCTAGGTTTCTTCAATTTCCAGCAAAATAGTTATCACACAAATTATTCTAAATTTAACTTACCCTACCTCACTTTAATAGAATCGATGTTCATGAAAGCCTGTGAAACAAGTTTAATTTCTCAGTAGCCAATCAGAGAAAGAGCAAAAACTAAAAGAATTTGCATAAATTTAAATTCAATAGAAAGTTTTTAATCTCTTTTTATAATGTCATTTCTTAGATAGCACATTCATTAAAATATACAATTCAGTTTGAAAGTAACAGTTCAATATTTGCACACTCAACTCAGTCATGTTTCAGTGAAATGAATTATTATATGAGCTTTATGAATCAGTGGCAGTGGTGATACCTTTATTAATTTGGCATGTACATATCATAACAATTAAATTTGATGCATGTAAAGCATTAATTTCCTTTGTTTTCTCAATCAGATACAGTAACTGATAACATTGAAAGGAAGAAAGTGTTATTGATTATCATTAATTTTGCATGAGCTATTGCTTACCATACAATGAGCAGCATTTTTATATTTTCACCACATCTGCCTCTTTCCATTCTCTTTCCAACTCTTTCTCTCGCTATCTTCTCTTTCTTTCCCTTTAGTTTTAATAGTTACAAATTTGCTCACTCACATGTACTAATATAGTGCAAATGGGGCCAATATATCTCATTTACTTGAGAAAGTATGAACAAATATCATTACAAATTCTGTTAATGTTGTTGTTCTTAATTGTTGTAGAATGTAGATCCTAAATTATCAAAGGCTAGCTCCTTATCAAGTGCAGAAGATCAAAATGAGTAGTCCAGCTGTTGTTTTGGTAGTCTCTGGATGAAACTGAAGGTAAAATCATAGTTTACTCTATAGATTTACAGTAGTATTCTGTACTGAGTACATGCATGTTGATTATAGCTAGAGCTAGGTTTATCATTTTTTACAACCTGCATCTACTGGTTGACTAACACTGCATTGTCTCTGTATCAATTTAATCCCTATGACAGTTAGTTAGTCCATATAAGTATAAATAATGATGTGATACTAATAGCTAGTCTTGCTATCAGTTTTTTTTCTGCTTTTTTCTCTTCATAATGTCTGATAGTGCTCCTCTATTAAGCTCATCATCAGTTACTACTAGTAAAAGGAGATGTTTCTCTTGTCCTTCTTATCGTTTCCAGTTCATACACTCTAAGGGAGCACTACTGGTACTATTCTGGGATCTCATGATTTCTATTAGTCAGAATTTAGTTTTACCCATTGCCTTATCTTCTGTAGCTATTGCTCTTGGAAACTTTTATTTTATTATAGCATTTGGAGTATTTCTTACTTCTTTCTTTGCTGGATATTTTGGAGATTTTTTGGTAAGCAGATATAAAGTTGTTACAGTTGGATCTTGGGTTGCATTTATTGTACTGCTTCCTTTTATAATTATCTTCATGCTTCTACCATTAAATACATACCTACTCTTGGTGTTATATGCATTATCACTGTTTACTTTTGCAATTGTACGTGTTCATTTGTTACCATTTAACATTGATCAGCTTATTGGATCATCAAGTGATGAATTAACTGCAGTACTACACTGGCATAATCTTGGGCCTGTTATTGTTAATATAAGTTTTATATTTCATATAGACCTAAGATATCTGTTACTAGCTAGTATTGTCTGTGTTGCTGCAGTACTAGCCAGTCATGGTCTCTTCAATCATTATCTTGATACTACTCCAGTGAATACTGTTAATCCAGTCAAACTGATAGTTAGAGTATTGTGTTATGCCAGGAAGCACAAGTATCCTGAGAATCGTAGTGCTCTGACCTACTGGGAGGAAGAGGCTCCTTCAAGACTAGACCTCGGTAAGGATAAATATGGTGGACCATTTACAGAGGAAGAGGTAGAAGATGTGAAGACAGTTTTTAGATTAATTCCACTGGTTATTGTCTGTTCTGTGGCATCAGGATTGTTTGGAGAATTTACTTTA